AGGCAAATCGTTCCACAGTTGAGGGGCAGAAACCCGCAAAGGCTCTAAAGCTCTAAAGCCATAGGACTTTAAGTTGTGTTTGACAACGTTTAGATGCCTTGAAGTGGATGATCGTAGATTTCGTGACGGAAAGTAGCGGGTTATCAGATCTTGAATATACCTGGGGGACTCTTTGTGTATAGCCTTGAAAGTGAAAAGAAAAGTCTTGAATTTTATGCGATCAGCGATTGGTAGCCAGTGTAGTTCAAACAAGATGGGAGTTACGTGATTTGGAGGAACTTGTAATTACACGAGCGGCAGCGTTCTGTACTTACTGAAGTTTTATTCACGACATACTTGAGAGGAGAGGAGGCCAGACAGCCAGATTCTAGGGACAAATTCACAATCTTGTAGAAGATCGGTAGAAACATATCGAAGTGATCCGTGAGCAGAACAGCAGGGAATGGATCTAATATGCATGATTTTCAAACAAATTTACGAGCGATGTTAGACAGTTCACCAGTACATGTTGGAGAAAAGGTATTACGTTCACAATCCAGCGAAGGTGTGTCAAAGGCACAAAAGAGTTCTGGGGTTTCATGTGCCTTGATTTGAATTTTAATCTTGGTGATCTTGATGATCAACGCTTATTCATTCTGATCGATCAAATAAGAACAACTATCGTCCGCGTAGTCTCGTTCCCAATAATCCACAATATAAGCGACTTCCTCAGTAAAACATAAAATAATGCATATAAATGCACAAAATGTCTCAATGTACTATTTAATTCGTTTTAGATGTATCACGATAATTTTCCATAAAAAAAAACATTCAAATCCCTTGCTGCTCATGGCTACAGCTTAGCGGTTGTAGCACTGCTTGGTATTACCAAGCCAAGAAAAAATCCAGAGGTAAATACACATGTAGCTACAACCAAAAAGGCGTTAATGAGTTATCACCTAGCGATTGGTAGCTGATTTTTGTAATATTTCAAGACCATTAAGCGATGTCAATTTCATGATAGCCCCTGAGAGGGAAAAGTTTATTTCGGTAGATCTCATCACGTACTCCTTGGTTATTCGAACGTCTGACCGTACAAGTCTGAGCAAAGGTTTTTTTTTTAAAAAAATTCTCAAAAGAGACTACACTTCAGTTGGCTATGAATATTCACGAGCTTTATGGGAAGAGAGTACTTTCTTTTTAGTGAAGTGACACCTGGACACCATCCAATGCAGACATTGCATAGTTGTCATGCCAGGTATAAGGAAACTCCTGCGCACCATAGAAACTGATACTGCTGAAGACCAAAAGAAAATGAATTAAGTTTTAACGAAAGTTGTTTTAATAGATTCACCTTTAAGAATAATTTAGGTATAAATATGAATTCTTAGATATTTGTAACCGTTGTATTTATGTGCAGTATATAACATCTTGATGTGCATTTTTATCGGACGGATTTTGACAAGTACGCGCTGTTTCCTCTTAAAAAAACACTTTTTTCGCTTATCTGCCGATCAAACAACACGACGTCATAACCTTAATCCTCGTCTCCCAGTCTCCTGAGACGGTATTATACGGAAATCGAGCAAATTTTGCATGAAAAAAAAAAAGCGATCATATAGAATAGCAAAAGTTTAATTCTACTGTCTCACAGCATACCTAGATATTGAACTACCAAAACCGGGAAAAATATTGTGTCATACACAACGTTATAAAGATATCATTACTATTATCATTATCATTATTATTATTATCATTATTATCATCGTTATTGTTACAACTGTCAGTAAACTGAAGGCTTATTCACGCAACTTCCACGATAAAAAGATTAGCTTTAAAGTATAAACTACTCACTTAAATGAACTCTTTGATAACTCCAGTTTTGACTCTAATCCTTGTATTTATTTGTAGTGGAACACCTTGATGTGTATTTCTATCATGGTGAATTAAGACATCGTTACTATTGTAGTTACTT